CCCCCCCCCCCCCCCCACGGGATCTTCACTCAGGAACACTGTAGAAGAAAGTCCGTCTCAGACTTGCCTTCCCTCAAAAAAGACCTGCTGGACCGGTACTACCTGGATTGAGAGACGGAGAAAAGCAGAGGGAGAGCTCGCTCACACTGAGAGGAGGAGACATGCTTTCGTGTAAGTCAGTGAAATAGAGAGCAGGATAGTTTACAGCGAGGCAAAGAAAAGGAAAACGAGAAGAGAAGAAGAGCTGAGCAGGCAGGAAAGGGTGGCAAGTTGGAGAAGAGGAGGAAGAAGAAGCAGGAGAAGAGGCAGAAGTGAAGTCAAGAACAATAAGCAAGGGGAGGTACAGTAACAACGCCTCACGGCACTTTCTCTCCTTGTTGCCTCTCTCTTTACTCTTTCCTTCTCTTTCTTTCCCCCCTTCGGCGAAGAAGCAGAAGAAGAGTTTTTTGAAAGGTTCAGGGGGAGGAGAAGCAGCGTGAGAGCCTCAGTGGTGACTCTTAGAGACAAAGTCACGCTTCAGAAGAGTCAGCGGGAGAGGAAGAGCGGCTGTCTTCAGGGGCATAGAGACACATAAAAGGGACTCGGCTACAAAACCACAAACACACGGGCAATTAGCTGGCCGTCAGATAACACTGAGCAGACAGCACTGGCAAAAAAAAAAAAAAAAAAAAAAAAAAGTGACTGAAGAAGAAGATCAGAGCAGTTCAGGACAGACATACTGAAAAACACACCAACAAAGAGAAACAAGAGAGAGAAAAAGAGGAAGAGCGCTGGCCTCTCCGTTATCCTTGCATATCCCCGTCTTCCACCCCCTGGTCTCCCATCCCCTCTCAGCCGAGATGATGATGTATTTCTGGGTGAGTACTGAGGCCCTGCATGGGCTCCTCAACACTACTGAAGGACCAGGGACACACAAAAGCAGAGGCTTACTGAGCATGACATACAGTTTGTGATCTAAAAGATGTGTGCTTATTGATCCTATCATTTTTTCCCCCTGTATCATCTCATACCAGAAAGTGTGTAGCAAAGGATTTCTGTGATGTGTCGCGTGTGTGAGAGCGAGTTAGTGAAGTGAGATAAAGGTTTCTTTCATTTCCCGCTCACTTGGCCCTTTGCTAATGATCCAGCGTTTTTATTGGCATTGATAAAGTACAGCCAGTGATGCTTTCCCTCTCTGCTACTGTAAGCAAGAGTGTCATGTCTTGTTTTACGAGTCTGACCTTAGAGATTTTACTGGAGGCGATACAGCTCAAACTGCACTTATCCTTAGTGGTAGAGGTCATGTGTGGCATTGTGATGTTTAGAATTGTTATGTGCGCTTAAACACAGAGAGATGGTCTTGCAGGAGGGAATCTTGTATTTACAAATTGTGAGGAACATTTTATTTACCTCATGACAAGTTATTTTTCCCCCAAAGGATTAAAGCCATCCAACAGGTTGTGAGCATCTGTAGAGGAGCATGTAATCTTTTATTGAAGTCAGATTACCGATTCAGAGAGCACTGATACTGTTAAGGTAGTTCAAACACTGGCTGTCTCAGGTTTAATGGAATACAGCATACTGTATATGATGTCATGGCTTTGCAGTGATCACACTCCAGCAAACTTTGTGCATGTGAGTGTATGCTGCTGCTTAAGCTCCGAATGTGGAACTGCCAAAAACGGTTGTTAAGGAATGAGTGAAATTGTTTTTTGTTTTTTTTTGTCATACCAGTAAAGTAGTTCATCACGCGTGGGTTTTATATACAAAAATATCACATATGCAGTATCTAATGACTTTTAGCACATGTCTTTATTGTTTCAAAGAAAGACAGATGATTGCTGCTTCCTAAATATGGTGCATGTTCCCATACTAACACAAAATAGAGGTCCACAATGTAAAGGCTAATTATACAACACACTGAGCCATTCCTTTTTCCTCTTCTCTTAGTCAGAGTGAATTTTAGGAGTGGATGAAAGCACTCTTACAGTACAAAGATGAGAGAAATATGAGACAAAAAACTCAGGGTCCACAAATTGTTGTCCAGCAAAAGGAAAAAATTAGTTTTATATTTGAGGAACATTTAAAAAATACATGAATATCATATAATTTAATTTAGAATATGTTTTAGAGTAATTGATATGATGGATTATTACATTTGTTGACTACAGAAATACTACTAGGTCCGTTGTTACCAATTACTGTAATGTCATTTACTGTGCCTTTCTCCACTGACCAGTGTTGGAGTCTGACTATAAGTACATTTACTCAAATACTGCACTTGAGTACAAATCTGAGGTACTTTTCGTTAAGTATTTTATTCTCATGCCACTTTCTACTTCTAATCCACTACACTTTAGAAGGAAATACTCTACTTTTTACTCCACTGCAAATATTTGATAACCCACTGGTTTCTAGGATTTTTGCACACAAATATGAAAATATACATGTGCAGCTGAAACAGTTCATTCAAAATTGAATTAGCAGATATTTTTTTTATCACCGTTAAAGCCATTTTTCATGTAAAAACATTTAATGGTTCCACTTTCTCAAATATTTATGAGGACTTGCTGCTTATCCTTTTGTATATTTTCAGTCTTGAATTTATTTGAACTTTTCTGCATTATATTAGCCTTTTCCCCCCCCCCAGTAACACCAATACCGACACTCACATTTACTTTACGTTTATTTAACAGCAATTCTGGAGTTCCTCTTCTTTCACCCTTTTTTTGGTGGCATCTCTCTGATTCTTGGGTATGTGCCAGAGTTTTGTCACATGGAACAACACCTGCCGTTATATAGTATTTAGGATGTGTAATCTATTCTAGTAGGTGACTTGTGATCTAGTGGGATTCATCATTTAGCAAACCTGGGTAAGGGCAGATCTAGATGGTTAAGAACATTTGGTGCATCTGGAGTTCTTATTTTTTCTCATAGCAGAAATTTAAGAGAATGTTGCTGTCTGAGGGCCAATGTTCCTCAGTGTCCATGTTGTCCAGACAACCTGACAGTGCAAACATTTCTTTATTTGTATTGAATAACTTGTCGACATTAAGGACAATGGAAGGAAAAGTGCATTGATTTTTTTCACCGTCTTTTTGCTGTCATAACTCACAAAGCCCGTCTTGTTCATCGTTTTATGCTTTAGATTAAAAAAATTCAACAATACTGGAACAAGTGCATAACCAAGAGCTATACACAGAGACGTGACACTCATAATCATATGGTCAAAACAGCTGATGCATTTATATTGCTGTCATGACATCTGTGTATTCGTATGTGTTTCTCATTCCAAACTAGTTTTACAGTTTTAGTGGAAAAGCTTTGGACTAAATGTATCAACTACCTTTTCTTTTGTTTCCAGTGGTTTATCTGTGAGCACAAAGTATCAAATTACTGCCTATACTTCTATCTCTGACATAATTCATAAGACGAAACTTTGTTTTTTTTGTTGTTGTTTTTTTTACTTGCATTTTGGACAAATTTCAGATCTTGTGTGATGCTTCAGTCCGTCTAATACATTTACAGAAACATATTCTGCCACCAAGTTCGCCTGAGATTTTTAGTCTAAAGGGAAAAAAAAAAAACTCCAGTGGCAGACAAGACTCGCACCTTGCATCTCTCAAATCTTTAATCAAAGGCTACAGAGGTCCAGTCAGTTTGATTTATTAAACAAAATATTCATTTAGAAAACAGGCCAGTATAATTATAACTGTCAGCTCACAGCAAATAAAGTCAGCTCTTCAGTTTCTGAATCCCCAACACAAAATCAAAACAAGCAGATTAATGAGATGTTGCAAAGAGATACGTGGTGATGATAACAGTGATTAATTGCTTTTTAAATTTTTTTTTAAAAAAAGCCCAGCAACATCACATGACAGTTTGTCAAAGTAAACCCAAAGTGGTAATAACATTTCAGCAAGTGAAGCTTCTATTATCATCAGGTCAGTTTACATTTTAGGTGAGACGTTTATTGTCATTTTATTCCTTATATAGTCTTTTCATGCATGAATATGAAATGTTGCTGGCTTCAGCTATCTGTTGAAGTGCTTGATTTTTATCATTTAGAAAAATGTGGAGAGAACACAATGGTCCACAATTGTCACCTGGTGCGTGAAAGGGAGCAAAAGTGTTCATTCGTTGTTTGCTCTGCTACAATGACAAGACTTCTATTTATCATTTCTCCTACAGGCTTCATCACTGATGGGTTTTAAAGGGAAATTTCGGTTTATTTCAACTAGTGACATAGAAATAATAGTTAGCATGTTAGCCATTAGCCTAGATACAGCCATAGCGTCAGACCTGTTAAAACGTAAGTGAACGGGCATACCTTCAAATGCAAAGTTAGTCCACTAAACAAGCTTTAGGACAATCGTTACAATCGTTAGGATAAATGTCAGAGAACATATAGAAAACAACATGTAAACATGCTGTCTTACCTTACCGGTGTGCTGCCATGTTTGTTTATCCCTCTAGCTCTGCTTTCCAAAGCGCAGCCGAAATATCGCAGCAATCTCATACCGTGCCTGAACAAGCAGCAACAGCTGGAAGGCAGAACCGGACAGCAGCCTGAAAAGTTCATTCATTTATTTTATGAAAGATTTATAGAATAATGGCTGACTTTTTGCCAGACTTCGACTTTGTGGAGGAGGAATTTGATTTTGCAGAGTTTGATGGCCGCCCTTATTTATTTGAGCCAGAATACACTGACGAAGAACTTTGTGAAATTGAAGAATGGAGGAGGAGGAGAGAGAGAGGCGCAACAGGTAACGCTAGAGGACGAGAGGGGAGGAATGGCTGCTGCAAGGCTGCGTAGCTCTGGAGATTGGTGGTGTACCTGTGAATGCTGTGCCCCAGTGCCCACAGCAGAGGAATGCCTCTGTTGCAAGGAATGGGAGCGGTTGCAGCCTTATTTTCAAGGTCTGGATGTGACCGAGGACGAGACACCTCCACCTGGAGTAACGTTAGTATCCAGCTGAGCTTTATCTAGAGCTGGCGAGATATATTTCGGCTGCGCTTTGGAAAGCAGAGCTAGATGGTAAACAAACATGGCATCACATCAGTAAGGTAAGACAACACGTTTACATGTCGTTTTCTATATGTTCTCTGACATTTATCCTAACAATATGAGGCGGTCTTTGTGGGAAAAAAAGCTTGTTTAGTGGATTAACTTTGCACTTGAAGGTATGCCTGTTCACTTACGTTTGAACAGGTCTGACGCTACTATGCGCCCCGGCTGTATCTAGGCTAACGGCTAACATGCTAACTATTATTTCTATGTCACTAGTCACTTGAAACAAATTTAGGACGATAGGAGACAGGTTGAAATAAACCGAAATTTCTCTTTAAGTCGATGAGTGTTCCCTTGTTTATGAAAGTGATCTTTGTGCATAAGATGATAATGATAGATGATAATCCAACAAGTTAAACATTTAATATCACTCTCTGTATTTAATTTCATGCTGCTAGACTGAAGATTAATTCAACCTAATCTCATTACCAGATCGTCAAATAATGATGCTTTGTCACTCCCCTCTGAGTCTCATAGTGACACAGAGGCCACCCTTTGGCGCATCTATGTGACACACAACTGTACTGGGTTAAATTTGTGAAATGGTTAGGTTTAGCAACAAAAGCACTTGGTTAGGGTTAGAAATATTTATTTTAGGTTAAAATAATTACGTTTTTTATGTAAAATAACTTGACATAAATACATCACATGACATGACGTGATGACTGTACATAAGTTACGTAACATTATGTTAAAACAACACTAAGTTTTGGTTTCACACTGGACACAAACTGTGGTCTCCTGGGCATTAGTCTGATTTTATTTGACCCATCCACCTTCCTTCCCTCCTGCTTTAGTAAGTTGAAA